TCCTCCTATTTCCCCCAAAACAACAACCCTGTGAGGTGAGTTGGGCTGAGAGTGACTGGCCCAAAGTCACCCAGCCGGCTTTCATGCCTAAGGGGGAACTAGAACTCACTGAGCTAGAACTGGTTTCTAGCCTGGTGCCTTAACCACTAGACCAAACTGGTTTTTTCTGTACAATAGATTGCTGCTAGACACTGGAGAAGAAAAGTGTAGGTTTCAAAGGAATGAGCTTGAAGATAGCTGCCTCTTGAGGTTATCTAGACTATAGTGACTTCTGGTGCAGATGACATTAAGTGCTCTATCCTCTCACAAAGCTCAATGGGCATAAGCCTTTACTATACTACAGACTGTGCTGATAAACGTGGTGTCACTTACCTGACCTTGGTGAGCAAAGCTGAAAACTGTTGCTCAGTTGCAAGTTCTCAATATATCCAGATGCGGCGAAATATCTAGCATTTCTATCGCTGCGCGTTTCCCTACAAATTTTGCATAGATGGGGTCAGTTAAGGAGAACAGTCATCAAGTAAACATCTTCACCTGGAGATTCTCAGCTCCTTATCCTTAAAGGACGAAGTTAAAAGTTGCTTTTTTCTTTGAAAACTTTGTTCTTTTGTTGGGAAAGACCTTCTATGCTACTCGAGTAGATCCTTCCTTTTTTCCCCCTTACAGTGCCCCAAATGGCGTGAATGCGTACAGAACTGTAATAGCTAGCCGCCCCTTACCATGTTTTTTACCATATCTTTGCAAGCATTACCCACTGTAGGAGAGGTAGCTGCCAAAGAGTGCGACTCTCCTTCTGTCTCGGCTTCATTAGCTGGACAGGGGCTGTCGCTGCTCAGTCAGGAGGTGTGGCCTTTCTGGCCCCGCCCCGGAAGGACGCGCCGGCCGGGTTGAGGCAGCGGCGGTATCCGAGGAGGACTAGTAAAGATCGGGGGCTGGTTTCCCGGCCCGCGTCGGGCCATGGGGAAAGAGCAAGAGCTGCTGGAGGCCGCCCGCACTGGGAACCTGCCCGCCGTGGAGAAACTGCTTTCGGGCAAGCGTCTTAGCTCGGGCTTCGGTTCTGGGGGCGGCTCCGGGTCTTCAGGGGGCGGCGGCGGCGGCGGGGGGCACCCGCTTTCCAGCCTTCTCAGGTAGGTGCCTGGGGTGTGGCTTGCGGAGCTCTTGAGAGTGGCCGGGGTGGCGCTGCCCGGGTTGGCTGCGGGAGGCTGTGTCAGGCAGCTGTTTGCCTTTAGGAAGCTGGGGGTGTGTCTCAGAGACTTGAGAATGCCCGGAGGTGCAATTGACCATAGGTAGAATCTCCGCCCCCGAAGTCTCACGGGCGTCAAGCTGGTTTGTGGCCATTCGCGTGTTTAGCCTCAGCCTGATACTGGGATCTTCTGGGGGAGGAAAGATCTGAAACCTGCACGCCGAAGCGAAGCGAAGCGAACCGAACTGAAGCTGGCTTCGGGGTTCTGAAGAAAGCAGGGGTGTTCTGTGGTTTCCCTGAAGGAAGGGGCTTCTAGTTGGCTTTCCTATTAAGGGGCAAGAGCTTTGCCTGTAGAAGTAACTCTGTAAACGATGGTTTGGGGAGACACTGGTAAAGTGTTAAAAACCTGTGCGTTGAGGCTGTTGTGTATTGGAAGGGTGGAATCCTTTTGTTAATTAGTGGAACTCAGGCTGCTTGTGCCTTCTTCTGTATGTTTTTAGTTGAACATCGCAGACACTCTTTTGGATACAGTTGATAGTCTTAACCTTCAACTGAGGATCAGGTCTGGATTTAAGATAGGTTCCATCATTGTCGCCCTTGTTTTTTTTCTTTTTGTGGATGACAGCTTGTTTTTAGATAACTGGGAATAAGAATAGAAGATATGAAGTGTATGCAAAGAGAGGAAAGCATAGGAAATGTACAGCTCACAGGTACAAAAATGTAGAAAGAAATTGTACTCTACAGTAGTCGTGTATCACTGCCAATTTTGCAGTTTCCATATCTTTGTAGTGTTCCTCTAATGTGTTTTATTACCCAAAGGATCATTTTACTTTAACAAAATAATGTTATGCCTGTTTCAAAAAGCTGGTGAAGTTTCTCTTGATACATGTCAGGGTGACCCTTGAAGATTTTTTATATTTTTAAGGGAGAACTTAGCTCTACCATACTTTGAAGGAACTCAGAGGCTTTTTAGTAATGCAGTTTGATGTCTCATGACTTTTCAGTTCATTTAAGGCTGTTATCAACTGTAAAATGGACCTCTGTGGTGCCTGACTTTTTTTTTTTCTGTGTTGTGTGCATAAACTCCAATATAAAGAATAGTTCTTAAAAATGCAAGCTTACATACTATCTGGAGGTTGGGAGGGTGGGGCTGGCCCTAGTGAAAAAGTGAAATCACTTTTACCAAATGAATTTTAGAGAAAAAAATATCAGTGTAAGCTTCTTGTCTAAATTGTGTCTACATCTGTTTGCTTCATGCTATAGACTTGGCATATGTTACTTAGTAATTTTGTGACTGAATGCGAAAAAAATATTGCAACTTGTCTTTGCCTTCTGTAATTGTAAAGCAGTGTTTGGCAGTTGAATTACAAATCCTGCTTGGGTTCACACACTGCATTAAGCTATAATACAGTTTTTTGGTTTTAACATAGCATATTTTATGATCCTAGCCATTGTGGGTTATAAATCATAGTTGATAGCAGAACGTTCAAAGACAACTATTTGTGGCTTATCATGTAAGCCACAGCTAAGTGCAGTATGTGAACTCTGTCACTGTGAGCTGTAAGAATATTTAACTCTTTATTCAGTCAGTCACAGTAGCAAATTATGACTCTAGTTACAGAAAAGCTGCTTCCCATACCGGTTGAAGTACAATTAATTGTACAAGTTGCATGACCTTTATACTCACATTCCCCACAGCTGCCAGATTATTCTGTGCTTTAATATTTCTAAATCTTATTTCCTGAAATGACAGTGATCTGAAGGTCTTAATAGATGCTTCTCCACCTATGACTTTCCTAGGTTCCCAACACCCTTAAGCAGGTTTCCGATCATCCTATGGTAAAAGTTCCAGTCCTACAAACATTTAATGTGAGTAAACAATTGGACTCATTAGGAGAATATCTTTGCATTTGAATTTAAATGCATGTCTCTTGGAATTGGTTAGATCCTGTGATATGGCATGTGGGCATATTCTGTTTGGAAGCATGGTCTGAATACTGTATCTGGAATGTGTGTTTTAGAGGGAATTAAAATTTGTCATGTTTGAGAATTTGGCAGTGAATGATAACTTACTGAATTTCCTACCAAGTTTTGGTGAGTCTGTGGATTATTCTGCTACATGGAATACACAGTGGGGCTATTAGAAATGTAGACCTGCTATGAAATGCCAGATTGCTGTTAGGAAAATATTAAGCAGCATCCAGAATATGTATTGGTTCTTCAATATGAGTTATTGCTAGAGGAAAGGAAACATTTTTAATTTACAAATGTGGCCAGAATATTTAAATGTCTTAATCAAGTAACGTTAATGAGATTGAAGAAAGAATTTGGGAAGGATGTTTTTTTGTGTCCTTTGTGATGATAAAGATGTTATCATTCTCAGATTTTATTTATTTATATGATTTCTATGGCCACCTATCTCACAACAGTGACTCAGAGAAGGATTGCCAAGAAGGAAATCTGAATCTTAATCCATTTGCTATATTGAGATAGGATTAAAGCTTCCAGACTTCAAGATTTTGCATGGGAATGTACGACTAGTTTTTCCTTGCTAACGCTAGGGGTAGACTGGGAAGTTGAAAAAACATCCTAGAAGAAAGCAGGGTCAAACTACTTCTACACTGTTGCCAAGAAAGCAACATACACATATCCATGGAGTCATCAGGAGTTGAGTTCATCTTGAAGTTATTTTTACTTAAGTACTACCTGCCCTGTTGCATGTAATATTAATCCCTGTTAAACTAATTATTTCAGTAATATACCATTTTTATGTAATATTTTCATGAAGAAAATCTATATGATCATAGGAGTCAAACAAATTGGTGGCACATAATTAATCAGTCAATCATGCAATATTTTACTGTTCACAGATCTCTCCTTCTATTACTCCTTAAATTAAATTTGTTCCTTCAAGTCAGTCTTTACTGCTGGGGACTATCTGAACAAGTCTCTCTGCTGTCTCCTTGGCAACATTTTCAGAAGTGGCTTGCCATTTTCTTCTTCCTAGGGCTGAAAGAGAACTTTGGGCCTAAGTCAGGACTAGAACTCGCAGTCTTTTGATTTCTAGCTTAGTGCCTTTAACTACTATACCAAACTGACTTTTTCTGATATTCCCACCTCTTCATAAATCATGCTGGATTTGCAAATGGAATTTACCAAAACAAACAATACAGGGAATTGCAATGACATGAGATTTCAAGTGAATTTGATCATACAGGGGCTAGACCAGAATAGCTTACTTATAAGTAAGTAAAGAATGCAAGCTCTAGGTATTTGCAAAGTAGGGAGGTACTTGCAATAACTACTGTATATCATTATTATAGGTTTCTTAAATGTGCAATTCAGAACTAAGTGTTTCCACATTAAGGAGCACAAAGGTGATTCTTTTCAGTTAAACTGAAGCTTGGCAGACTATAATGTATGCTGAGGAGGAAAATATATCTGAAGATCAAGTGAGATTCAAAAGATCAGCATTCTCTTTATAAATATTACAGCTTCCTTATTGATATGGATTTGTATAATCACTACTGTACTATTTCCTTAGTTACTTGTAAATAACTAATATTGCTTGAAATGGTGTTCAGATCTGTTAGGCTACCTATGATGAAGCTTTGTTATCTTTTTAATTCACAGACTGCCTTAAGAATATAACATATTTTTATCTTGCTCTTCCTTTAGACTTCTTAAGGGTATATACACTAGTGTGTTATTCTTCAGTTATCTTCTTGTTGGAAGATGTTATAGATTAGGCTTAAAAATGTTATAGGTAAATAAAGATCTCAACAGTACCTGAACTAGTTGGCTAACTCAACAGAAGGCATCTTCCTCAGATATGCCAAAACAGGTATCCCTAATCCTAATAAGATATTCTAAAGACTCTGTCATGATAGCTCCATAAAATAATCTACAAGTCAGTAAGTTTTACTCCTGTCTGGTTATCAGAGCCTTGTTTACAGGTAGTATATTTCTTATAACATAGAATTTTGGTGGCTGATCAGTGTTCGTTCACATTGTTAATGAAGAATAGTATCTGAGTTTTCTTCATGATTTATTGGGGCCATTTCAAAGGATGCCCCCAAATATGTTTATCCTTGGAATAAGTATTTTGATAATATCCAACTTTATTTCTCTTAATCATTAAAGCCTAGGTGCTAGAAGAATTTAACTGGTGCCCAGACAAAGCCATAGACTGGATGAAGCCAAAAAGCTGGAAACTCAAGTCCAGTCCTATGGGTTGGTAGTTGTTTGTTCACATATTTTGTTCAGTTTGCTCTGAATGGGATTGTACTTTTCAATGGATCATAGTTACAGTTCAGCAACATTCAGATAGGAACTCTTTTCTTTGGGAGGCTCACCTAGTGCCTGTGTTGATTTATTTTTTTTATTTTTTTTTGATACCAGGCAATCTCTCTCTCTCTCTGATTGCAACATGACTAAAAGTATGCTGTGGATTAAATAAAAAAATAGGGGAACTTGCAGAATTGCAAAGTCTTAGCTGGAACTCTTGCACATTCCCTATGCATATAGTGCTCATGGTATTGTTTTTATTTGTGCTATTCCAAGCAGAAACAGCATTAAGAAACTTATTTTGGGGGTTTTGGGGGGTATCATTTCTAAAAGAATTTGAAACAAAGACTTGTGTACATG